TATCTGCCCTAATTCTTATCAGCCAATTATCATACTCTACCAATGATAAGGACATGAATCTGAGACACATCATTAGCTCAAAGATCATTAAAGAAAACATCAAAGGCCAAATGGATGCTTACAATCTACAGTAGTTATTATCTGGGTCCTTTTCCATACTGTTCACAGAAACTTCATTCCTACTATACCCTCACCTCTTAATCTAATCCTAAATAAAGGCAAATTATGTAGGAGATACAGCCTCTGCAAGACAGATCATTCCAAGCAGGAAGGGAAGAGAAGTAACATTTACAGAATTCCTGCTATGTGCCAGGCACTATGCCTGCATGCTTACGTTTAATTCCTTATTTGATTCCCCAAAAATCCAATAAGGGAAATATTTTAGATCCTAAACTGAACCTCAGACAGGTTAACTAACTTACCTAGGATGACAGACTGTTAACTAAAAGAGCCAGAATTTAAACCCATGTATGTCTGACTTCAAAGCCTATTTTTTCCTGCTATACTAAGATGCCTCTCTTCCATAAGAATTTGAGATAAAAATGAGGTTATTTAAATGCATTTGGTAAATAAAATTTCGGCGTTTGTTCACTTAACAAATATTTAAGAAACAGCTATTGTGTAAAACACTAGGCTAGACATGTTAAACATGAACTGAGCCTTTAGAGCAGGCGTCCCCAAACTTTTTACACAGGGGGCCAATTCACTGTCCCGCAGACTGTTGGAGGGCCGCCACATACTGTGCTCCTCTCCCTGACCACCAAGAGGTGCCCCTTCCTGAAGTGCGGCGGAGGGCCGGATAAATGGCCTCAAGGGGCCGCATGTGGCCTGCGGGCTGTAGTTTGGGGTCGCCTGCTTTAGAGTTTAAGGAACTTGTCCCAGGATATATGGCTACTAAGTAATGAGAAGACTAAAACTCAGACAGCCCGATTCCAAAGATAACACACTCCACTACTCCACTATGCTGCCTCTCTAAAATTTAAAGGATAACACGAGTGAAGCATTAGTGTTCTCCACTGCAGTGAAAAAAAGTAGGTCATTTTAATTCCATACAGTCCTGAAAGGAAGTCTAATAAAGGGCCCACTGGCTAGCAAAGGGAAACATTTATTCTTTCCTCAAACCAATTTCACGTTTATGTATATTCATTCTGGATACAGATGTATTCATAATAAAAATTCTTAACTGTCTTGATCATAAATAATATTACCACCTCCTATTTGTTTAGTGCTTTTTACATTTTCCAAAATGTTTTTAAATACATTATTTTAACAAATATAACCATCAACAGCTCCTCATCTTTACTAACACAGAAAAAAGCCAAAAGTTCTGGCATCCATTCAACATCTCTTACATCTCTGCCTTTCTAGCTTAATTTGCCACCCATCATACTGACACAAGTTATGTTTCAGCCACATTATTCCCTGAAGATTCTATCTTTGTTCATGGTACTATTCATACAATTCCTTTTGCCTAGAATGGTCTTCCTTGTTATTTACCTGGTAAATTCTGACTACTCTTTCAAGAGGTGGTTCAAATATCTTCCCTATGTAACCTTCAGCTCACTGAGCTAGTCACTCCCTCCTCTATGACCACCAAATCAGTTTTTACATATCTAGCATAGGATTTATTATAATTATAGATGTGTTTTCTTTTTCCCAAGAGACTGAGCTCTTTAAGAGCAGTGACTATGTCTTTTTCATCTGTTTCCTCAGTGCCAAACTCATAAAAGGTTTTTAATATTTATGAAATGATAAAAGGATGATTATACAAACCACTAAACTAGGAATTAGAAAACCTAAGTCCAAGTCCTATACTAAAAAGTAAAGTAAGTTTTAAGCTCAGTTTTTTCAGCTGTAAAATAAGTAATTTTAAATTCAATTAAACATTTGTTTTCATGACTATGCTTCCTAATCATTAATTTAACAGAAGGGAATATTCTGAGAGTTCTTTAGAAGGGTCACAGAAAATCCAAATGTTGTTATTACCTCCTCCATCATGACATCCTGTGTGGCCGAGATTTCTCCTTTGGTTGCTCCGCTGTGTACCAGGTTCCGCAGTCGTATACAGAATTCTCTCATCTATGAAAGAAACTTATTCAGCACTCCAATCGTTACCCAAATTCAATTGTAAATGAGCCTCATAGACCAATGCTAGTTCTATTTAATTTTAATTGATGCATAACTCAAACCATACTCATGCAAAGTTCATAAAGGCAAATGTTTTTCTTCAACTTGTCCGTTTAAACGCATAGCTAAAAATACTTTCCGTAAGGAGAAAAGGCATAAATTATTCCTCCAAAGTACTAGATGGAACTGCTTCTGCTCTGCAAACATCACATAAAGATGTTTTATGTGCCTGGGCATGGGAAAAACATCTGATTACATAATGCCTATCACTCAGAAAAAGCAGGAGACAAGATAATTATGCCACTAAGTCACTCTGGTAGATTTTTACTTAGAATTTCAATAGCTGCCCATTTTTCCTTCTCTGCCAATTGATGATGACCATGGTTATGCCATCCCCCAGTAAAATTTCATTTTTTTTTTAGCTGCCTAAGATAAACTGAAATCTAACCACAGTGCTAAAGAAGATGTTGCTCCCACTTCAAATAGAATGAAATGCCATACTATTAATGATCTTTTAGCCTTTGGATAAAGACTAAAAGTGTTTCCAAGATAGAAAATAACCTACTTCTAATGTTAGGGAAACACATCTATAGTTTATTTTAAAATGTAATCTTTCTCCCAGGAAGATGAAAAATCCCATTTTAGCCTCATGGATTAGGACAGCGGATTCTGGCAACTGCCAGTTCTCAAAAAGGATGCCTGGCTAGCAAAGCCACATCCCTGTAGGAATTCTAATTCTCCTTGGGAAAACTGGTTATGTAGAGAAGACATAATGATTCATTAAGATAACTGAAGCAAATAAAAAGCATTTCAGTAACTGCCTCAAATCTTTAGTGGGTGGATAAACCACACTGATGTGGTCTGGGGAAGTCTCAGAACACAGCACCCTCTTTAAAGGCATCTTGCAAATACAGTAGTTCTTTTTGGTTTTACTAGCATATAAAGGAGTTCTAGCCCACCTCCACTAGAACCAAGTGAGAGACACAACACTCTAAAGTGCTTGTGGCCAATATTAATTGGACATAGGACTTTATTTCCTAAATATTCCCCTAAGAAAACATTAAAATCAACAGAAACAAAGGTGGAAGTTTTTTTGTTTTTGTTTTTGTTTTTTTTATTTTTTTTGAGACGGAGTTTCGCTCTTGTTACCCAGGCTGGAGTGCAATGGCACGATCTCGGCTCACCGCAACCTCCGCCTCCTGGGTTCAGGCAATTCTCCTGCCTCAGCCTCCTGAGTAGCTGGGATTACAGGCACGCACCACCATGCCCAGCTATTTTTTTTGTATTTTTAGTAGAGACGGGGTTTCACCATGTTGACCAAGATGGTCTCGATCTCTTGACCTTGTGATCCACCCGCCTCGGCCTCCCAAAGTGCTGGGATTACAGGCGGAAGTTTTTTTTAATAAGGAAAAGCCCTCTAATTTTAATTATTTTTAAACTTAATATGTAGCTACCTTGCTTTTGACAGACACTGACATCAGTAGTTATCTTGTATACAAACTATATACACTGTATACCCAGGAACCCCTTTTAAATAATAAGTTTTAAGGAAACTACACTACTAAGTACTTTAAGTATTCAATCCAACCCTGCTTCAAACACTGTACCTTGTGATTCAGAATATCATTCATCCTTCTGGTTGCTTCTGTTGTATAAGACTCAGGGAAGCATTTCTTAGGGATAACACCGTATTTTTCTGAAAGAAAACAAATTTCCAGTGTTCAATAAGGTAAAAGATTAGAAACCCTGCCAAAAATAGTGATTGTTTTAAAAATTAGGCCATATTTTGCTGGCTTAATTCAGAAAATCCTATACTTCATATCATTAAGCAGGGATTTTTGTTTGTTTGAAGACAGAGTTTTACTCTGTCACTCAGGCTAGAGTGCTGTGACACAATCCTGGCCCACTGCAGCCTTAAACTCCCAGGCTCAGCCTCCTGAGTAGCTGCAACTATGGTGCATGATACCATGCCCAGCGAATTTTTTTTTATTTTCTATAGAGACAGAGTCCCACTAAGTTACCCGGGCTGATAGCAAACTCCTGGGCTTGAGCAATCCTCCTGCCCTGGTCTCCCAAAATGCTAGGATGCCTGAGCCACCTCATGACGCCTAAGCAGGTTTTCAATGTGCCTATTTATCTGTCTATGCTAGAATTAATTCTATTCTTTCTATCTACGATACTTTGTCACTTCTCATCCTTTTGGTCAAGATCAAGTGTATCTATCATACTTCTGTAAAGTGCTCAGCATGATGAGATTTCCCCAAAAGATAATGCTTTGAAGATATTTTTAAACAGCTGCAGTTTTAATGTGTTTCTTGATTACATCTATGGAAAGGACAACAGCTTTTTCATGGAAAGTTAGTTCTACTTAATACTGCCTTTTCTTTTCCAGCCCAACCTTCACAGTAGCTATCTCCTTACCCCTCATTTAAGAAAGTCACTCTACATGTGAGAATGGGAAATAAAAGTCCTTAGAAGTAACTATATATCCTTCTTGGAGACCAATTCTACTCTGTACTTAACCACCAAAGAAATGGCCCATGCCTAACTATAAAGGCTTACTTAATCACGCTGAGTTTCAGTTCCATTAAAGAAACAACTCTTACCAACAATATTGACAAGCATATCCCACTGGCCACCATCATTTGCAGGGTTCATAAGCAAATACTGCACCAGCCTCCCATCCTCAGGCTCCTTTCTCTGGGCTGTGTCCACAAAAGCATTCAAGAAGAAATAACAGCGTTCAACCTAAAGAGTAAAGAAAGTTAAATAAAACTAAAAGAAAAAAGAGCCAATAGTTTTATTGGCATTATCAACAGAATGGGAGTCTTGTAATTACCATGGAACCAACATGGTATTTTTTTTTTCTTTTTTAAAAACATGAATATTTCACGAATTTGAATGTCATCCAATAGAGGCCATGCTAATATTCTCTGTATCACTCTAGTTTGGGTATGTGTGATGCTGAAACAAGCACCATAATAAGCACTTTTAAACTAAAATTGGTAATTAAACATTGTATCTGATTTCATCAGAATATTGGAAGTTTCTTCCTATACCTGTGTATGTATCCCAATACATTGTGTATATGTGTACAGTGCTTACATTCCAACATTCCAATATTAAAACAAAACCTGGTATTTAGAGTCTTTAATCAAACATTTTATGAACACTTAAACATAATACAGATTTTCTTATTTTTAGACAGGGTCATGCTCTGTTGCCTAGGCTGGAGTGCAGTGCTGCAATATCACTGCAGCCTCAACCTCCCCAGCTCAAGCAATCCTCCTACCTCAGCCTCCTGAGTAGCTGGAAGTACAGGTGTACATCACCACACCTGGCTAATTCCCTTATTTTTTGTAGAGACAGAGTTTTGCTATGTCCAGACTGGTCTCAAATTCCTGGGCTGAAGCAATCCTCTCACCTCAGGCTCCCAAGTGCTGGGATTATAGGCTTACAGGCATGAGCCACTAAACCAGGTTAGTAATAAGCATTTTGAAGATTAGGAAAAGGAATATGGTCAGGCACAGTGGCTCACTTCTGTAATCCCCGTACTTTGGGAGGCTGAGGCAGACAGATCACTTGAGGTCAGGAGTTCGAGACCTGCCTGGCCAACATGGTGAAATGCCCTGTCTCTACTGAAAATACAAAAATTAACTGGGCTTGCTGGCATGCGCCTGTGATTCCAGCTACTTAGGAGGCTGAGTTGGGAGGAAGGCTTAAACCCAGGAGGCAGAGGTCACAGTGAGTCAAGACTGTGCCACTGTCCTCTAGCCTGTGCAACAGAGTGAGACCCTGTCTCAAAAATAAATAAATAAATAAATAAAATTATTTACTCTTTTTCAGACAAGTACTAGAGAAGGGAAATTAGGTCCCAGAAAAGAACAGATAGGCCGGGTGCGGTGGCTCAAGCCTGTAATCCCAGTACTTTGGGAGGCCGAGGCGGGTGGATCACGAGGTCAAGAGATCGAGACCATCCCGGTCAACAGAGTGAAACCTCGCCTCTACTAAAAATACAAAAAATTAGCTGGGCATGCTGGCGCGTGCCTGTAATCCCAGCTACTCAGGAGGCTGAGGCAGGAGAACTGCCTGAACCCAGGAGGCGGAGGTTGCGGTGAGCCGAGATCGTGCCATTGCACTCCAGCCTGGGTAACAAGAGCGAAACTCTGTCTCAAAAAAAAAAAAAAAGAAAGAAAAAGAACAGATAACCTAAAAAGATATTAAAAAAGGAGATATATTCAATTGAATATTGAATATAAAATTCAAAATTTCAAATAGACAAGCAGTAAGTTAAGTCACTAAGTTTATTATTTCATTGCAAAAAATAGCCACTTAACCAAAAACAGTTCTGCCTTTCAAAGAGTCAACTTTTGATACTCTGGAAGTCAGAATGAAAGCTGTTTCACCTATCATGAAAGGGCAGGCTGTAACTGGAAAAGCAACAAATGAAGAGGCAGTCCCTAATGAGGCTGATATCAGCACATAAAGAATCTTGCCAGATCAGTCCCATACCTTGTCCCAAAAAAACAGGTAAGATTGACTAAACTCAAACTCTTCAATATTTAATTTTTTCATGAATGGAAGCCTCATAACATTCAGACAAGAAAAGATCCAGCATCGCCCTGAAACAAGAAAGCACATCAAGAAATTATGAGGGTTCACACAGATAGCATTGCTCCAACTGTTATTTTCCAACAATGAACTCATGACACAATCTGGACAATTCAGAAAGAGTAAATCAGTAAGAGCAGAAAAATTAAAAACAAAACAAAAAAAGGTGGTATTTCTAGCAATATATATGCAAAGGTTTAATACCTTTAATGCAAACACTCTACATATCAAATAAAGAATCCATTACAAATCACCCAAGAAAATTACATTAGAAAAAGAAACATGCTAGAGAACCATAAACAGAGATCACAAACAGATCACTCAGTGGCCAAAAAAGATACAAACAGTAGAAGCAGTTTTAAAAGCTCATGATAAGACATCTGTTAAGTGAGGAAACATCCTTTCATTTATTTCATTTGGGGAAATAAGCATTATCAATCTGGATAGGGATCTACATAGGTACAAAATATCTGAATGTCATTTGGCAATACCTAGCAAAAGCTTTAAAAAGCCCTACCCATCCAGCTGGACGCAGTGGTTCATGCCTGTAATCCCAGCACTTTGGGAGGCCGAGGTGGGTGGATTATCTGATGTTAGGAGTGTGAGACCAGCCTGGCCAACACAGTGAAACCTTGTCTCTACTAAAAATACAAAAATCATCCGGGTATGGTGGCACATGCCTGCAATCCCAGCCATTCAGGAGGCTGAGGCATGAGAATCGCTTGAACTCAGGAAGCAGATGTTGTATGAGCCGAGACTGCGCCATTGTACTCCAGCCTGGGTAACAGGGCAAGACTCCGTCTCAAAAAATAAAGAAAGAATAAAAAGCCTCTACCCTTTAATCTGGAATATGCATTTCAATATGTTTCAATATAAGCTGACCTTAATGTAAGTCAATACTCCATTCTTCCAGTGATAAGTCAAAAAAAGGGCAGATATTTGCCTAACTGGATTTTACAAACACTTAAAGATATATATGAATAGCAAATTGTCTATCCATAATATTTTAGTTTTTTTTTTTTTTGGAGGGGAGACAGAGTCTTACTCTGTCACCCAGGATGGAGTGCAGTGGTGTAATCTCAGCTCACTACAACCTCTGCCTCCTGATTCTCGTGCCTCAGCCTCCTGAGTAGCTGGAATTACAGGTGCATGCCACCACACCCACCTAATTTCTGTATTTTTAGTAGAGCCAGGTTTTTGCCATGTTGGCCAGGCTGGTCTCAAACTCCTGACCTCAAGTGATCTACCCCACCTCAGCCTCCCAGAGTTCTAGGATTACAGACATGAGCCACAGCATCTGGCCAATATTTTAGTAATTTAAATGTATTTTAGATTTAAAGTCATGTTAGCATAATCAATGGATTTAGAAGCACTGTTTTTCCCACTTCACATTTCATTTTCACACTGATTCAATCTTCATATGTACCTAGCAATCAGTATCTGTGCAATCATTAGATCCATTCTTTCAATCAGCACACGTCATCTTTCTTCCATCTAGTATGTTTGAGTCACAGCAATGTTTTGAACCCATGCATGATGCTGTCCCTGAAAATTCTATACCAAGCATCAACTACACAATCAGATTCATCATGTGTCCTGTATGTGTATAATCACAAACTCCACGTCACCACTTCCTGCTCTGACTTAAGTGATCTTAATTTAAAAGGTCTATTTACAACGATATGCAACACCAATTTATTCAAACTTGTCACTTTTTTTTTTTTTTGAGACGGAGTTTCGCTCTTGTTACCCAGGCTGGAGTGCAATGGCGCGATCTGGCTCACCGCAACCTCCGCCTCCTGGGTTCAGGCAATTCTCCTGCCTCAGCCTCCTGAGTAGCTGGGATTACAGGCACGCACCACCATGCCCAGCTAATTTTTTGTATTTTTAGTAGAGACGGGGTTTCACCATGTTGATCAGGATGGTCTCGATCTTTTGACCTCGTGATCCACCTGCCTCGGCCTCCCAAAGTGCTGGGATTACAGGCTTGAGCCACCGCACCCGGCCCAAACTTGTCACCTTTTAAAAGAAGCTGATTCAATCAAAGGACCTCTGTAAGCATGCAAAAATGTATGCATCTGAGGTTTTTCAGAGTAATGTCTTCTCCAAATTATACTCTACTGCAAAATAAATTAACTGAGAGCGCCCATTAGAAAAGCCTTCAAGGCCTTAAATATAGGGTAATTCTCTCTTCTCTGAAGGAAAATTCTTAGGGAAAAACCTTGAGTTGTATCGGGTATAACTTCACTGATATGAAAATATGTTTATAATATATTGGTAAGTGAAAAGAGTAGGTAGATTACATAACACTGTATAAGCTATCAACCCACATTAAACACGCACACACGCGCGCGCACACACATACACAGACCTGACAAATATACAGGAAAAATATTCACCTGGTATTTGCAATATTCTACATTAAACAAAAATAATTTTGTAACAAGAAAAAAACTCTAAAGTTAACTATAGTATTTTCTGAAAGTCACCAGTGCCTTACTATAGTTCATCTTTACCTTAAATTTACCTGTATGCAACCTCTCTTCTATACGCTACATATTTCTAGTAGAAGGGATCTGGATGCACTGGTGATGTGAAAACTGCATGAAAATAAAGTACACAGCTCACATGCTATTTGGATCTTTTGTATATATGAAAGAGACACTGCAAAATGTGTAAGACCTGACCTGTTCCCTAAGAGATCACTGCAATCTAAACTATGTAGGACCACTGTAACATTACCAACTGGATCATCTGTAGCCTGAGAGCTCATACCACTCCAAGCACTTTCTTCTAGAGCAAAACATTAATTATTGTAAGGTCTTGACCTTTTCCTTAACATTTAAAAATCAACTTTATTCATGTATAATGTACATACTATAAAACGTACTCATGTGAAATGTGTGCTCTGTGAGTTCTGACCGACTGTAAACAAGCACTAATGTGCTTCCTGTTCATACAGATAGACTGGGAGTCGTTTTTAAGTAGATAAAGACTTTAAAAAATCCTTTTACTACAATTTTGTGGTAAGACTGTGCTCCTTAATTAGATCCCTAGATATCCAATCTTTCACTGTAGCTGTTTTTCTGAGAGTGGTGCTAGAAAGTAGAGAGCAAAACGAGACTTCTTGACAAGTAAGACATGAGAACTGAACTTTTTCCTGTATTACAAACTGATCTACTGGTGGGAACTGAGCCCATCAGCACATTAGCTTCAGCTGTAACCAAGAAGCATATTTAAAAGTAACAGCTGATGACATTTTAATGTGATTACATTGTATCTTTCCTATTTCATAAATTTGTATAGGGCCTTCAGGGCATTTCTGGAGAGTCCTCCAAGAATATGCCAAGAATATGAACATTTCTG